AAATTACTAAAAACGAATATACATTAATTGGCAATGAACATTGGTTTATTCATAAATATATTATGTTATTAAATATGAATATTATGAATATTTGTCATTCATTGTCCTTATGCTAATGAAATGAAACTTATTGGAAATTGTTAGGCTACTATAATTGTAACTTTTTGGGGAAAAAGTTGAAATTTCCTCAAAATATGAATCCCTCTTTTGTGGAAAGACCAAGAGAGGGTCTGATCAGTCTATAGCTGCAGAGTATAGACAAAAAATATGATAAAATGCCAGCAGTGTGTGAGTGAAAAATTGAAAACAGAGTTCATTCTGCAAAAAATGCATACCATATATAGACCCATATATGCTCCATCATATTCATACAATTCAAACAAGTATATTTATAATTAAATTTCGCGGGCACAAAGGCAACAAACAAAAGCTCCTTCAGAACATGTCAGAATTTCCAAATGTATCTGATATAAACATATGTAAGTGATAACTTCACACTCATTTGAAACTGACCTGTGACATGACCTTATGGTATGCAATTAAACTAAATGTTTAAAGGTATTTTTTTTTACAGAGGGTTTTTTGAAATAATGATAAAATAAATTAAACATTAAACCTAAATAGAAATATTTTTTAAAAAGCACATAAAAAGAAATAAAATAAAGTGAGTGTGTGTGTGTGCGCGCTCTGGTGTACACGTCCCTCACAGCGCTGTGCTGTTTGGAGCCGCTGCGCTCTGTTGGTTAGGATTGCATACCCAAGTGCTATTTGTGCCAAGCTTTGAGCAGTGCAGTGTAGATTCACTGACTCGCTGCTTGATTCATGTTGACACCCTTACTGTCATTTCCTATCTCTGCCACAGTGGCTCTCTCCGCTCTCCCTGCACTGTCCTCCCCTCACCAGACTTACGTAAGTCCCGCGCTTTACACAGTGTCCTAACTAGACACGACAAGTTTCCAGTGACAAGTAATTTCTCTGTTCGCACTTAAAGTGAAAATGCAGCAAAATCACATATTTCATGTTTAACAGCTGCTTGCGCTCACCACAGATTAACTGTCCTTACTTTAAATCATGCTCTTGGTCATTTTGTGAATGACTCATCGGTGCACATTATTCCAAACAAAGCAAATGTTTGTCTTTGCAATTTTTCATAAAAATGTAAATAACTTTCTCCGCCTCTTAAACAACTTTCCTATTTGACTGACATCATCAGTCCCTTTTGTTTTTAGCCCCGCCCCTCCAACTACTTCTTATATAGAGACACTTTACACTATCCAATCAATTTCCTATCCGTAAAATGGTAACACTTTACAATAAGTTCCTATTAGTTACCATTAGCGAATGCATTAACTAACATTGAGAGAATAATTCACTCAGTTTCAGGAAAATGTAATCCCCTTCAGGAAAAGATTTGGAGAAATGTAGCATTACATCACTTGCTCACCAATGGATCCTCTGCAGTGAATGGGTGCCGTCAGAATGAGAGTCCAAACAGCTGATAAAAACACCACAATAATCCACAAGTGATCCACACCACTCCAGTCCAGTCCATTAATTTTGTAAGAAACAAATGCATCAAGACGTTTTTAACTTCAAACCGTTGCTTCGTTTTGTCTCCTCTGCTCTGACCCTCACGCCGTGTGTTGTGTCGCCTATGCACTCACCCAGCAATCACCGCCACAGCTCCATCAAGGCTGATTAACAACCTGTGTTGGTGGGCTACATCTGGTGTACACGTCCCTCACAGCGCTGTGCTGTTTGGAGCCGCTGCGCTCTGTTGGTTAGGATTGCATACCCAAGTGCTATTTGTGCCCAGCTTTGGGCAGTGCAGTGTAGATTCACTGACTCGCTGCTTGATTCATGTTGACACCCTTACTGTCATTTCCTATCTCTGCCACAGTGGCTCTCTCCGCTCTCCCTGCACTGTCCTCCCCTCACCAGACTTACGTAAGTCCCGCGCTTTACACAGTGTCCTAACTAGACACGACAAGTTTCCAGTGACAAGTAATTTCTCTGTTCGCACTTAAAGTGAAAATGCAGCAAAATCACATATTTCATGTTTAACAGCTGCTTGCGCTCACCACAGATTAACTGTCCTTACTTTAAATCATGCTCTTGGTCATTTTGTGAATGACTCATCGGTGCACATTATTCCAAACAAAGCAAATGTTTGTCTTTGCAATTTTTCATAAAAATGTAAATAACTTTCTCCGCCTCTTAAACAACTTTCCTATTTGACTGACATCATCAGTCCCTTTTGTTTTTAGCCCCGCCCCTCCAACTACTTCTTATATAGAGACACTTTACACTATCCAATCAATTTCCTATCCGTAAAATGGTAACACTTTACAATAAGTTCCTATTAGTTACCATTAGCGAATGCATTAACTAACATTGAGAGAATAATTCACTCAGTTTCAGGAAAATGTAATCCCCTTCAGGAAAAGATTTGGAGAAATGTAGCATTACATCACTTGCTCACCAATGGATCCTCTGCAGTGAATGGGTGCCGTCAGAATGAGAGTCCAAACAGCTGATAAAAACACCACAATAATCCACAAGTGATCCACACCACTCCAGTCCAGTCCATTAATTTTGTAAGAAACAAATGCATCAAGACGTTTTTAACTTCAAACCGTTGCTTCCAGCTAAAATACAAGTCCTCTATCCATAAAATTGTTTTCTCCAGTGAAAAATCTCAGACACAGACAGTTCTAAACAAATATGTGGGTGGATTGTGATGTGAGGACAACAGAAGATTAACTTTTTTCACTGTAAGAAGTGTTCTAATAGATTATGTACTAATCTATGTACTGCTAGATGTGACGGTTTAATGATGGAATGATGGATTTATTTCTTACAAATGTGCAGCTTTTCATTTCACAAGGCATTAATTGGTGGACTGGAGGGGTGTGGATTACTTGTGGATTATTGTGATGTTTTTATCAGCTGTTTGGACTCTCATTCTGACGGCACCCATTCACTGCAGAGCATCCATTGATGAGCAAGTGATTTAATGCTACATTTTTCCAAATCTGTTCAGATGAAGAAACAAACTCATCTACATCCTAGATGAACATTTTCAGCATACTTTCATTTTTGGGTGATCTGTTCCTTTAAGTTATAATAACAGACAGTTTTGATTTGATGTATTACTAAATATTGAAATTACTTAATGAGATTAATACATGATTTAGAAGTATTTTTCATTGTTAGTTCATGTTAAATAGCATAGTTAACTAATGTTAACAAACGAGACCTTCACGAGTTTGTGCGCCCATATAATCTTTGCATACGTGGTAAGCAGTTTTTGGATTGCTGTGCATATGGAGGGGCTCAGGGAGGATGTTATACTGGAGCTCCGATTTGCCTACTGATGATTACACAGGTAAAATACATAAAGGAAACTATTCCCTCATTTTCCAAATCGTCCCCCTGAATCTCCATTGGATGACTTCTTAAAGCTTGAACCACACTCAAAACATTGTATTTCTGTCATTTATAATCTGATTCACAATATTAATTCAGGCTCTGCAAATCAGGCCAGAGGTGCTTGGGAAGAGAGTTTGGGATTTGAGTTATCTGATGGACACTGGGAGCGTATTCTTGAGCTCACTCACACCTCATCTATATGCGCAAGGCATGGGCTTATACAATGTAAGATTCTGCATAGGGTTTACTATACTAATGCTAGACTTGCCAAAATATACCCCTCTGTCAGCGATGCATGTAATAGGTGCAAGCAATCACCAGCAGACCTCATTCACATGTTGTGGGAATGCCCTAAATTATTTGATTATTGGACTAAAATATTTAAAACTTTGAAAGATGCCTTCGACATAGATATCGATACAAATCCACTTTTGGCCATTTTTGGGTTGGCAGTAGATGTTAACCTTTCAGTAACGGTCCAAAAGGCTTTAGCCTTTACTACTTTACTAGCAAGACGTCTCATCCTTTTAAAGTGGAAGCACGTCTCACCCCCTTCCTTTGATACATGGCTAAAAGAAGTGTTTACTTGCATTAAATTGGAAAAAATTAGACTGTCACTCACTGGTTCGTTAAAGACCTTTGACAAGGTGTGGCGCCCCTTTTTAGATTATCTGCTGGTCTTGATACTTAAGCTGAGCATTAATATATAAACATACAATTTTTATTTATGTTTTTTAAACAAAGCATTATATAGTTTTTATTATTATTATAAAAAAAAGTTTACACTCGAAGTGGATTGGTCTCTCTAAGCGAGATCCCAATTCATCGGTCACCGACGTGACTCGGAGTGACCGACTGAAAGGGAACTTTTATTTCCCACCCAGGCTCACTGGAATAAACATGCCTCTACCTACAGATTTGCAAAACTCCAAAAATGTACATACATACAATTCATTGCGTTTTCCAGCTAAATTGAATACTAATGGCAGTAAAACACCAACAGCTCATTAATTTTTTTTACAAATTGTAATTACAGGGACAAATTATCAAGTCAAGTTAACCTTTCAGTAACGGTCCAAAAGGCTTTAGCCTTTACTACTTTACTAGCAAGACGTCTCATCCTTTTAAAGTGGAAGCACGTCTCACCCCCTTCCTTTGATACATGGCTAAAAGAAGTGTTTACTTGCATTAAATTGGAAAAAATTAGACTGTCACTCACTGGTTCGTTAAAGACCTTTGACAAGGTGTGGCGCCCCTTTTTAGATTATCTGCTGGCTAACTGTCTTGATACTTAAGCTGAGCATTAATATATAAACATTCAATTTTTATTTATGTTTTTTAAACATAAAGCATTACATTTTTTTATTATTATTATTAAAATGTATTTATTTATAAAAAAAAATTTAACCCCTGTTGTTTTTTTTTGTGTTTTTTTTTCTTTTTTTTTCTTTTTTTTTCGGGAAAAGGGTGGGAAGTATTTAGTGGGGTAGTATTAGCAATAACAGGGAAGAATAATTGTACAAAATTAATGTTGTAATTTGTTGAGTTGATATTTCATGCAGAAAATGTAATAATAAAGAAATTTGAAATAAAACTTTAAAAAAAAAAAAAAATACATAAAGGAGGAGAAGGGGAGGAGGAGGGATGGGAACCAATGCTGGGAAGAAGTAGAGGCCGCTTTTATGTCCTGCTAATAATTAGAAGATTAAATGGGAGTACTCCTCCCGAACGTACGTTTAATAACTTAATAACTACAAACTGTTGTAAAGTGCTACCGCTAAACTCAAGTCCAAATTTTTTGCGTGGTTGCATGTCCTGTATCATCTGGAAATTTGCAAAAATCCATGTTGAGGCGCTTACTTGATTCCCTGATTAAGACGTGTTAATCAGAATCTCATAAAGATCATGTCATGAATAAAAAAAATACAACTATGTCGAGCAAGATTTTGGACGAGTGCGACTGATCTCTTGTCAGTTTGTCTGGTTAATACAAGAACTTAACATGGAAGAGGAAAGAATCAGCTGGCACTTCATTCTTTCACACATTGTGAGCATATGGTGCAAATAGAAAACCACAATAACTCAACAATATATATATTTCAGTATACAGACAAAATCATAACAGATTCAAGAGCAGCAAGAACAGTCTGTGACTATATCATAATTGACAGAAAAACTTTTGAATGTGAGATTTGATAGTCATGTTCTGTCTACCGCAGAACCTTTAGCTCCACGTACTCACACAGACACAGAGAGGAAGCGGAATGATTTTTCTCTGCACCTGAAGGCCGCTGGGGAGGAGCAGGAAGCTTGTTTGATACCAGCAGTCTGACATAAAGTGCACTGTAGGTCATCAGGAGCTGCTGAGCAATCGCCTGAAGAAAACAGTCACACATTTTTCACTTGAACTGTTACAAGATTCAATCTAAGACTGCCAAACCTGCAGATGACCTGCCTGATTTATCCCATTCATTTTTTTCTATAATGACAATTGTTGGATTGGTGATTGAAAATATTATTATGCATTCTTAATTATCAAGGATTTTTGAATATATTAGAAAAAATATGGTAAACTACTATAATCTTCTATTGATACCATGTGTTGTATTTGATCCATTTTAATTTTCTGCCTAATTTTAATCAGCTTTCATGTAAAATTGTCATTCAAACCACCACTGACTGATTTGTATATTATTTATATTAATAATTTTTTTGTTCACCTGATTTGAGAGAGTGGTGTCAGGCATCAAGCTGAAGTTTTTGGTGAGTTTAGAGTCTTCCCGTTGACTAGTTGATGCGCTTCGCTCTCGTCCCCCCACCAGCAGCGGCTGCTCTTCTTCTGGAAGCTCCTCGTCCTGTACTCCAGCCTCAGGATCCAGGGTCGTGACCTTGGTCACTAGAACTAGGTGGGACATTCTTTTCTTGAGTTTGTTCTGCAGAGTAAAACGGAAACTTTGTGACAGTATTTCATTCTCTCGCAGTGTTATTTAGTATCACTGAGATACTATTACAGTTCTATTCATATTTTTTTTAATTAATTTTAGTTACAGTTTTGATCATTTTGTTGTGTGTTGTGCATCATTTTTATTAGTTATTGTTTTAAATATGTGTCTACATATTTTTAATTCATTTTATTTCTGTTTTGGTTATTGTAGTACATCAAGTAAAACTAAATGAAAGTGAGAAATTATGCCTGGCTGAAATCAAATAAGTTTACTTTTTATAATATTTTACTTTATTTCAGTTTTTTTGTTTGTTTAATCTGCGCTTTACAGTTGTTTGATGTACCACTATTTTTGTAGTACAAAACATTTCTGTATTGATTATTTTCTGTGGAGCCCTGAAGCATCAACATAAGAACAAATCAATGAACAACTTGTACTTGATCCCTGACAAAACTCATGTCGTCCAGCGCTTCAGTCAGAGATGTCCGACATGGGGACAAGTCCCAGTACACACAGAAGAGCTGCAGACAGAAAGAAAGATCAAGAAGAAGAGCAGTTAAACAAGTCTGTTCATGGCTCTAAACATTATCAGTTCCATCAGATAGACTACAGAAGAAAAACATCAAGATAAGAGTGTGACTCAGGAAGGCATTCAGTTATCTGATTATACACAATCTCTTTTACTCTTGTACCACTAAACCAGTAACCGTTTCTCTCGACTTTCTGGCAAAGAAATTCTTGCTTACAAATTCAGAAATCTTATTTACGATGTGATATGCATGCAAATCACTTTGGTCAAAATAGACAAATTCATTTGAAGTTCATTATTTCAGATTTCTTTTTCTCTATTTCACTCCCAAACAAAAACAGGAAGATTTTTAGCAATAATGCAAGAAAAATAAGGTGTGTAGCTGATGCTTCATATGTGTATTTTAAAGGGATAGTTCACACAGAAATGAAAATTCTGTCTTCATTTACACACATTAAAGGGGTCATATGATGCGATTTCAATTTGTCCTTTCTCTTTGGAGTGTTACAAGCTCTTGGTGCATAAAGAAGATCTGTAAAGTTGCAAAGACTAAATTCTCAAATCCAAAGAGATATTCTTTATAAAAGTTCAGAGTCAGCCACGCCTACCTAAAACGGCTCGTTCTAACACACCCCCACATGTCTACGTCACGATGTGGGAAAATTTGCATAACACCGCCCAAATGTTCACGCAAAGAAAGAAGGCGTAACTTTTATTCTCGCTGTAGTATTGTTGACGCTGCAGCCATGTTGTGAAGACGCTGTGTGCTTCGTTGTCAAAGCGAATCTACTTTGTTTGGTCTTCCAAAAGAGGACACAACTAGAAATCAGTGGTTAAGTTGTATTTACAACACTGTTCCAAAACTGGATAGCTGGCCAATCACAGCACACCTCGCTT